CGCACGGCTGGAAAAAAGGACTCCCGTTGTCCGCGGCTGGACGCCTGCGCTGCGCCAGCAAACCGGAAGTCAGGCCCAAGGGAGCCGGGAGAGCGTTCGCGAAGCCCGTGCTGGGGGTGGAGGGAGAAAGGGGACGCGGCGTACTACGCCTCCCGTCAGCCTCCGCGGCAGGAGGCCGGGGCTGCTGCGTACTACGTGTCCCGTGAGCCTCCGCGGCAGGAGGCCGGGGCCGTTTCGTACTACGCGTCCCGTGAGCCTCCGCGGCGGGCCGGCGGGGCCTCAGTGACGCGGGAGGCGGAGGTGGAGGCGGAGCCGACTTGGGTAAGACGTTAGCCCCCGTGGCGGCCGTTGGGCCGACGGTCTCCTTCATCGCTGTCCTCTTTCCTCTGTCTCCGCTGGGGGTTCCCGAGCGGTGTGGAGCGGTGCGGCGCGAGTTGGCTCCGCTTGGTAGCGCTCTTGCGGGTTTCCGGCGCTCGCCTCGCGGTGGCCACAAACGCGGGAACCTGTGACGATGCGTGCCTGCGGGGGAGCCGTTAACCGCCGCCGCTCTTTTGGGGGCGCTGCTCCAGGTCTCCTGGTTATCCAGAGCTCTGCTCCTTAAAAAATGTGGACTCTGTCGACTCCAGGGCGGAGCTTCGGAATTAGGGGTTGTACCCGGCCGCGCCGCCTCGGTTATTTCTGGAAAAGGGACAGGTCCTGGGCTGTGGGGTCGCGAGTAGTTGAATTCCTCGCCGTCTTCGGCGATCGCAGCCAGATGAAGCCCCTCAAGCTGTAGCCTGTTTCTGGTTACACGAATAAAAGAGAAAACGGTCCTCATAGCGAATTTTATCCTTGGTAACTGCCGATGAGCAACAGCAACGCCCCTCGCCTCCCTTACGTAGTATTTTGTCAACTGAGGGTTTACGTATCGTTTGAGTCGGTGTTCTGTTGGAAGATGTTTCTGAATCGCGTTTTAATTCATCAGTCAGTTCATCAAAGGATGGATTCAGCTCCAGGGTTTACTTTAAAATATGTTTTTATTGTTGTTAAGCCTCTCTTTTTGCTTCAGATTTAAGTGAAAAGTCGCAGCTATTATGAACCAAGGTGACAACGTAACCTAAACATGACATTTTAAAAATATTTAAAAGTCTGTATTAATCTTTTAGAAAGATCCATTCACTTCAGTTTATCAGGCTGGGACATCAGTGCAGTGTTTTTAGTATTTTGGACAAGAATCAGCCCTTTTTTTTATTTCCTGACTAATGCGCTTTACAAAATAAAAGCAAACTGCCAAAAGGTATGTTTTTGCTGGTAGAGTTTTTGAAGAATGTTAACCAAAATCGGTTGAGGCACCCAGAACCATCAAAAATAAAATGGTCATCTGTTTTCTAACATTTCTAATAGAAATGTTTTCTGTTGAAACTTTATTCACAATTCAGAATAATTTGAGACTTGTTGAAAAAGAAAGGAAATTCATGTTTATCTTTGAGTAAGGAGAAGATGACTTAGCTCAGTATTTTAGCTTATTTGAAGCGTCTTATTTTTGTATTAAAATGCATACCTCCCTATTATGATTATGAAAAAAGTGGGTTTTATTAAGAATACTATTTGCTTGTTCAGAATGCATAAACGTATCAATTTAGTCAAGTGAAACACCTTGATTCTTTTGTAAGTAGTGCCCCTGCTAGGTTATGACCAAATATAATCCAGATATTCTTTAAATTAAGCTGGAAATGGTCACTTTCTATCTCACTTGTGCATCCGCTTTAGTTAATTTTAATGAATTATTAAAAATGCCACACTTTAGTTATAAGCATATATTGAAGTTTTATTACAGGTTTTGCTGCAAAGAAAAAGACCTCCCATAAGTCAAGATACAGCCTTGGTAGGGACGTTTGGTAGGGGAAAAAAAATGGTCAGATAATCATCATTAAACTTAGATAACAGAAAAAAGAATTGAGGGTCATTAGATTCTTCACTAATAGTCAACTGCTTAGGTGAGTGAATGGTTTCCCAGAGCAAGTCTTAATTCCATTGAAGTTTACTGGAAGGTTGCTTAGGCATTTTTTTCAGGAATGTTCATTTCATCCCAGGAGAGAGTTGTGAATTACAGTCATCCAGAAAAAATCTGTACCAGCAGGTTTGGGACAATATTTTTTAACCATTATTACATTTTCTGTAACTGTAAATGTTGTCTGACATGTTCAAAACAATTCAAGGCTTTGAAATATATACTTGTTATAAAATGGCCATTTTTGGAATGAGTTCAACACTGGGCATAAGGCATTTTTTTAAGTGTAAAGTGTCCTGTTTACACGTTGTGAACAAAAAAATACACATCACAAGAGTTTCTCCCCCCGGGACCTTTTTCCATCTCCTCCCATCCTTGCACCAGGGCCCTAATGTTTTCTGTCAAGAGCTGCTCCTGAAGGGTATGGAACTGGCTTCAGCAAAGTTCCCTTTTTCACTGGCTTAGGTTGGATTTCAAAGCCGCGTCTGAACAAAGAATATGGGCCCTGGCACAATTCCTGTGGCTCAGCCTGTTTCTCTTGTTTTTAGGCAATCACGCATTTTTACAGCTGCTTCAAATCTTATTTTTGTTTAATTAAGCAGTGCATTAAAACAATGAAAAAAGTGTTCTTTGTTTTTTTTTCAAATGAGAGCTAAGCATTTCTAAGCTGTGGCGAATATATACTGTTAGAGGAGAGAGAAATCACCTTTAGAGGAAAATTTTTAAAGCAAACATTTGATTAGTGATTTAAATTTTGTATTAATTTAATTTTATTTAGCTCACACCACCGGAGGGATCTTTTTTTCTGTGTCTCTGTAGATGTGGCTTTTCAGTATCAGCAGAACAGAATTAAGATGGCAGAACCTTTAAGTTGAAATGGCAGTGTTTCATTTCATGTTAATATCAGCTTCAATTTCATCAGTATTGTCTTAAAAGCACTCTTCCTCTTCTCCCCTACCTAGCATGTGTCCAAGTTAAGAGCTTTAGGGTAAGGAGATGGTTTCAGTGGCAGAGATAAAAAGCAGATTCAAAAATACTACCAAAAATGAAAAAATCTATTATCTGGGCATACATAGTCTTTTTTCTTTCTTTTGTCCCACACCTCATCTCGCACACACACATACCTGCAAAGTACACATACACACACAGAAGGTTGTGAACTGCGTTATCAAAGTTCATGACTTCTATTACACTGTGTCTATCTGAATCTATGTGTGCCTGAAGCAGCAGTCTTCAAACTAGGCATCATCACATATCCCTAACCCTTAATCTTAGACAGTACATGAAGACTTTTTAGGCAGTTATGTGAATGATAGTTTATGGGTATTAATTTTCAGGTTGCCAACTTGCATGTTTCTGCCCTAAAATTGATGTGCCTCGGGGTGTGCCTGATCCAGGCACCTTGCCCCTTTCCTCTTTGGTAATTGTCCTCCTCTCACTCTGCAAACAAGGCAATACCTTTCATATCTAAGTCTTGTTTAGAAAGTAAACGATTGTAATGACTGGGTAGCTGATTGTTTTGCAAGAATGGTAATTTCCAGTGGCTTTTGAGAATATTGCAGAAGGACTCAATTGAGTTGTCAGCTGATCATTAAAAATAATTTTATGACATACCCCTATGTGATTTTTGGTACACAGCTTAGTAGTTCAAAAGAATAATTATTGGTATAACCAGAAATACTCCTGCTCCCAATAATTGGAATGGAAGAATACGAAATATAAGAATAGAATTAGCATGCAGCCTATTTCTTTGTAGCAACAAACAATATTCATCCTGGATACATGACCTAAATGGGGAGGGGGTATGCATTTCTTTAAGAGATGCATTTCCAGTAAAAGCTGACTTGTGATATTTTATAATGATCATAACACGTAATAAGTTTCTCATTTGATCAGTTGTGTTTAATGATAATACAATATTGCTGACAATTTTTAAAGTTTATGTTCTTGGAATTTTTAAATACAGTTCTTTATGTAGGGAAATGTGATATGATGACCAATTCGAAATATTTTCAAGCACTAAAATATGTTTAAGCTTATGGATAAGCTTAGGTGAGGGAAGTGAGATAAAAATATGAATTCAGGGAGAAAAGAGACATTATCAAGTTCCTAACTGTGAAAGGAGATCTCGTTCCTGTGCTTTTGAGATGGACAGATTAGTAGATATCAAACCACTATGGCATTTTACGTTCCATTTACACAAGAGATGTATGCTACTGCCTCTTGCTGCCAGCCTTGTCCTGGGCATACAGTCTGCTTCATAATAACTTTTTGACTTGAAATGCTTTGCAGTCAGGAGGACTTAGCTTCTGACAGCTTTCATTTTTTAAAAAATAAACATGAGTGTCACAATTGTATGCATAGTTAGCAAATGCAGTGACTTTCTTTTGGAAACATATGTCCAATAAGAAGTCTCAACTGGACTTCTTATTAAATGAAGTAAGAGCAACCCTTCTCTGAAGCTTGATAGTTACACATTTACTATTTGAGATATGAGTTCATTAATTTATTCAATACTTAACAAA